CCACAATGCCGCCGAATCAAAATAAGACGGATGTGGTAAGCAGTATGAACATCACCGCCTGCAACTTCTTTGTGTTCCACTCATGCATATCATCTACGTATAGACCTGGCTCGGATGCCACTATTGGGAAATGTTGCATGGAAAACAAAAAAATCTACGCACACGCAAGATCTATCCATGGAGATGCATAGCTACGAGAAGGGTGAGCATCTTCATAACCTTGAAGATTGCTAAGCAGAAGCATTTATCAATGCGGTTGATGTACTGGTACACCTTCACGATCCGTCCCAACCAAGTACCGAACATATGGCACCTCCGCGTTCAGCACACGTTCAGCTTGATGACGTCCTCGCCTTCTTGATCCAGCAAGACGGATGAAGTAGTAGATGAGTTCCGGCAGCACCAAGGCATGGTGATGGTGTTGGTGAAGAACAATCTCCACAGGGCTTCGCCAAGCACAACGGGAACTATGATGGAGGATAAACTAGAGGGGACGGGGTTGCCGGCACACGGCTTGGTGAATCTTGATGTGTCTTGGGTGCTATCTCTACCCCTCTATTTATATGTCGAGCCTTGGGGTCGAAACTTGGAGTAAAAGCCTCCTCAAAGTCGGTTTTGCCTGAAAGGCAAGAGTCCTTCTCGGACTCCAGGCCTAGACGCCAGGGTTCCCAGCATCTGGACCCAGACGACAAGGTCCCTGATGTCTAAGCCCTGGCCTCCGCAAAACTTCCTTTTTCACTTTTCAAAAGCCTTGTGGGCTTTACCCTTTGGCCCAAATAATGTGTTCTCATACCCAAACATTTCGGGAAACATCCGGAACCCCTTCCGATGAATTTTGGAACCCTTCCGGAGACCAAACACTATTATCCCATATATCAAACTTCACCTCCGGACTATTTTGGAGCTCCTCGTCAAGTCTGTGATCACATCTGGGACTCCAAAAAACATTCGGTCACCAACATACATAACTCATATAATACCATATCGACAACGAACGTTAAGCGTGCGGACCCTACGGGTTCGAGAACTATGTAGACATTACCAAGACACCTCTTCGGTCAATAACCAATAGCGGAACCTGGATGTTCATATTGGCTCCTACATATTCTACGAAGATCTTTATCGGTCGAACCGTTATGACAACATACGTAATTCCTTTTGTCCATCGGTATGTTACTTGCCCGAGATTCGATCGTCGGTATCTTCATACCTAGTTCAATCTCGTTACCGGCAAGTCTCTTTACTCGTTCTGTAATACATCACCTTGTGACTAACTCCTTAGCCATTTGATTGCAAGCTTATGATGTGTATTACCGAGAGGGCCTAGAGATACCTCTCCGATACTCGGAGTGACAAATCCTAATCTCGATTTATGCCAACTCAACAAACACCTTAGGAGATACCTGTAGAGAATCTTTATGAGCACCCATTTACTTGTGACGTTTGATAGCACACAAGGCATTTCTTCGGTATCTGGGAGTTGCATAATCTCATAGTCGAAGGAATATGTATTTGACATGAAAAAAGCAATAGCAATAAACTGAACGATCATTATGCTAAGCTAATGGGTGGGTCTTGTCCATCACATCATTGTCCTAATGATGTGACCCCGTTATCAAATGACAACACATGTCTATGGTTAGGAAACCTTAACTATCTTTGATCAACTAGCTAGTCTAGTAGAGGCATACTAGGGACACGGTATTTGTTTATGTATTCACATGTGTATTTAAGTTTTCGATCAATGCAATTCTAGCATGAATAATAAACCTTTATCATGAATAAGGAAATATAAAATAACAACTTTATTATTGCCTCTAGGGCATATTTCCTTCAGCTTCGGCGCCGCCCGTCGACGTGGCCGACCACTGGTCCACCTGGGTCACTACCAGTGGGTCCCCTGGCCCTAGTTGACTGGCTTGACCAATCAACTATGCTGACTAGGCGGCCCCAGTTATTGACAAGTGGGACCCACCACCTAATTAACTAAAAACGATTTAAAATTAATTAATTAACTTATTTTGTTAGTTACAGGTGGGCCCGTTACCTAATTTACTAGTTTAGTTAAAATTAAACTCTATTAACTTAAATGTCTATGACATGTGGGACCTAGCTGTCAGGTTTGACCTAGACTAGCTGGGTTGACTGCACATGCTGACATCATGCTGACGCAGTAAATCTAATTTTGAATTATTTTAAATAATAATAATTTTAGAAAATGTTTAAATCTTTAAAAAATCATATAAAATAACCTGTAAGTCAGATGAAAATAATTTATATATGAAAGTTGCTCAGAAAAATCTAATGAACCCGAATATTCAATCTGTTGATCTTTCACATGCCTCTAGCATGATGAACATGGATCCTTCCTCTTCGATTCATCTGTCCAAAAAATGCCAAACGCCTGGAAACCATTCCCAGATGTTTTCCCGCTTCATCCGTAACGTGTAGTACCGCGTTAGGTCAACCCTAGCACTACATATTGCCATATCATGCATCATGATGCACTTGTTTGATTTATATTTATTATTTCTTCCTCCTCTTCTCTTCGGTAGACATGGAGACCGACACTGCTCCCGAGATCGACTACACTCCTGATGATCAGCCCCTTTATGCAGAGCTTCCAGGCAAGCAAAACTCACTTGATCATTCCTATATCGCCAGTTCCTTCTCTCTCATGCTTGCATTTGATTTTGCTACTGTATTTGTATGATCCTATTCTGATGCATAGCCTGATTTTGTAACCTGCAATTGTTACCTTACCTGCTTATTGTATATGCTTAGTATAGGTTGGTTAGTGATCCACCAGTGGCCCCTCAGCTTGTCCCTGTTGCCCCCGATTTACCACCAATGACTCGACCAACGTGATCGATGTACAGAGCCCAACACATCACATCACACCCCTTAGTTGTACGGCACTTCAGGGTTACTATCGAGTGGCGAGGGTGATACCTCGTATAGCACTTCTAATGACATCGCTGTGGTGTAGTTAATCGATCGTGGTCTAAGGAGGGTGATTCCTCCTTCACCACTCCCGATAATTACTCTGTTGTCCAACACATGAAGAGTGAACCCTCGAGGGTGATTCCTCCAAGTTCACCTTGATGGTTACATCAAGTGGAATCCATCGAGGGTGATTCATCGGATTTCCCCGTTGGTGTTATGGACACACGGTTACTTTGACTTTACCATAGAACCATGATGAAGTCAGGCCGGCCCCGAGGGGTACCTGTGAGAGAAATGTGAAGTCGGATTCACCGTGAGGGTACCCACTAGTGATGTGGAGTCGGGTTGACCTGGAGGGAACTCGCGAGATAACTATGTGGCACAGTCGGGCATTCTTAGCCCTTGTCGTAAGGCTGGGAGACGGGGCGATGGGACCATATATCGTGGATCATTGATCGTTACCGCGCGCTGCCAAGACACTAACAGTTTGGATATGTGATCCGAGTAGGCCTCTAGCCTCTTCGCACTGACCATCACGCGGGAATAAGTATGGACACTCTGTGTCGTACGTTTCTCTAAAAGCTCTCTGGACGTCAATGATTGTGCGGCACACGTCCGTGTGGTCCGCGTAAGCACCTGCTTTGTATAAAGAGGTAGTCAGGACTGATCCCAGCCGTCCACGTAATGTGCAGGACTGCAAAGGGCGATGGGCCCAAGACCCCCTGCACGCTTAGGATGTAGACCGGCGTGTTGGCCTCTCCGTTGAGCCTAGGTAGGACTACGATGTGTCAATCAGCGAGGCCGGGTATGATCTGATGGTGTGCCCGGCCGGAGTTAATCGTGCGTGTTAGGTAAGTTTGTGCATCCCTGCACGAAAGTTAATCCATTCGAATAGTTGTGTCCACGGTAATGGGCGCTCGAAGTTGTATCCCAATTGATAAAACTAGAACTGGATACTGGAGATGTTAAATGGATATGATGGCTCCGGGATTGCTTTCTCGCAGAGAGTCGAGAAAGGATCTCTGGGCGTTAATGTTACAATATACTTATTAATTGTGCTATGCTAATCTGCACTCTTCTAATACTTCAAGATGCTAGTCTTCAATAGGCTAGACTTTCCCTTCTCTTCTGGCATTTCTGCAGTTCAGTTCAAAGATATAGCCCCATTCCTTTGATACTGATGCATACTTTGTTTAGATTTGATGTAAGTCTTGCGAGTATTTTGGATAAGTACTCACGGTTGCTTCGCTATCCCCTTTTTCCCCTATACCCGATTGTTGCGATCAGATAACGGATCCCAGGAGCTAAATGCCACACCACCGACGACTACCAATACCCCGAGGGTGCCTACTACTACGTGGAGGCCGCCCACGACCATGAGTAGTTAGGAGGCTCCCAGGCAGGAGGCCTTACTTTTTCGATCGTTGTTGATGTTTGTGCTAGCCTTCTTAAGTCGGACTTGTTTACCTTATGTCTGTACTAAGATAGTGTTGCTTCCGCTGACTCGTTTGTATTTGAGTCCTCGAGACCCCTGGCTTGTAATATAAAGCTCGTATGACTTTAATTTGTGTCTAGAGTTGTGTTGTGGTATCTCCCCGCGAGTCTCTGATCTTGATCGTGCGCATTTGCGTGTATGATTAATGCATGATTAAGTCTGGGCATCACACTCTCCTAACAAATAGAAAGGTACATGTCCGTGACTGGGACAATCACAAGTACATCAAATTTCCGTGGATTTTGCCACAAGTTACAAAAATGTATCTAGCTCTAAAAAAACAAACCCCTTAAACCTGAACATGACAGCACAACAGAGATCATTCATGCGTGTGTGTGCAGTAATTCCACGAAAAAATAATTAAAAAAGGCAAAATAGTAAGTCATCCCAGTTAATCACAGTACAAAAATCGTGGGAACAAAATAAGAACGCGGCAGGGAATTTGGGGCTGCATCAATTTGCCCATGCCCCAGAAAGTCGTCGGGCCATTGCTGCCCCTGTTTTGTTCGCTTGAAAGCTAAATCCGTCTCTGTTCAAGAATCGGAGAGGTTCAGCGTCGATGCCGACGGCTCTATTTAATCGCAACCGCGGCCGTGAGTCGGCAACATCTACTCGCTACTCGATTCCTCGCGCGGGTGGAGGTAGCTCACTCATGGCCAGGGCCAGGACCGCGATGGGTCGATGCCTTCGCCGCCGCCGGCCGCGGGCGTCCCGCCGCGACGACCGGATCAGCGCCCTCCCCGACGATCTCCTCCTTTCGGTCCTACGCCGCCTCGACATCCGGACGGCGCTCGGCACCGCCGCCCTCTTCAAGCGCTGGGCCCGCCTCAACCGTGAGCTCCCAGTCCTCAACTTCAGTGTCGAGGGCATGCTCCCGCCGCGCTACCACCGATGGGTCCAGCTCTGCCGCGGCATCGGGGAAGCTATTTTTTTCCAGTACGAAAGGCACGCAATGACACGGGAGCTCATGCCCAATATCACAAGGTACGAGCACCGGGCCATGCGCGCCCTGACCAGGTCCGTCGAGAGCTTCTTGGGCACCGTCGCTCGCCGGAGGAGGGTCAATAGGCTCAGGGTGGAGTTCTTCGTCACCCACAACACCGGCTGCCTGAACCAGCTCATCGCGGAGGCCGTCGACGCTTGGGGGGTGGACGACCTCGAAGCTGTTGCCAAGCCAATCTACAATCAACCAGGAGCAGTCCACACCTTTGGCAGCCATGGCCTGTGCAAGGAACCCAGCGCGGCACGCCTGCAAAGCCTCAAGCTTGGAGGCTGCGTGCTCCCGCCGTTGCACGAGTACGGCGCGCTCACCACGCTCGTCCTGCAAGACATACCGGATTCGACGCCCGAGGCAGCCTACGAGGGCGTCTTCACCTCGTGCCTGCAGCTGCAGGTGCTGCACCTCATCTCCTGCAGGTGCAGCGGGGGCAGGGGCGTGGTCGTGGACGCCCCCATGTCGAAGATCAGGGAGCTCGTCGTGGACAGGTGCAGGTTCAGACGGATACGCCTGAGGGCTCTTCCTAGCCTCGAGAGCCTTGCCTCCGAGGGAATCATAGTGCACTTGGAGGAGTCCACCTCGTTTCCCTGTCTCAGGAAATATAACCTCACCTTGTGCCTCGGTATGACAATGCAAGGATTTCGCCAAGCTCTAGCGCAGCACCTGAAGATAGAGCCTGAAACGTTTCTTCGACGCATGCCGGGCATAACCAGCCTGATTCTCAGGCTCACTGGGCCTGACAGATGGATCGTGCCGTCGAGCCCCCCATCGCCGCCGTTGTTACCGAACCTGAGGAGGCTGCTGGTCGCCGATGTGCCTTCATCCTGGGATGTCTCGTGGCCCCGTCTCCTCCTCGAGACGGCGCCTTCCCTGAAGACCCTCCACGTCCACATCGCAGCTTGCATAGAAGAGAAGCCCGGTGATGAGATACCCTGGCGACCCACCATGGTTCGGCACCATCATCACTTGGAGGAGTTTGTGATGGTTGGTTATGAGGGAACAAAGAGGCAGGCCTACTTCGTCAAGTTTCTCATGGGAGCGTGCACGGTGTTGCGCCATGTCACAATGTTAAGGAACGGGCATGCTCGGAACAAAGGGCACTGGGACTGGGAGTTGGTGACACATCAACATTTGTGGACCGACGAGGAGAAGGACGACACACTGAAGCACATCATGGATGGGGTTTCTTCCTCGGCTGCCCAAGTTCAACTAGTTTTAGGCTGAGTTTTCTCATGTTTGTGCCTTCCCTGAAACCGTCTAGTAATGCACATGCTTCTTTGTAATCTATATTCGATTTGATGGAATTTATAATCTCATACTCCCTCCGTCAGGAAATACTGTCATCAAAATGGATGAAAAGGGATGTATCTAAAACTAGGACGCCGATAACGCTCACACGTGTGGGCGTTAAGGGGTCTACCCACACAGTTTTTGTGATGTTTAAGAGGATCAGCCCACACGCCTACGTGTGGGCAAAACAAGTAATGCCCACACGCCTTTTTTTTTCTGGCGGTCCCTCTCACATGCCTGCATGTGGGCAAAATAGATAACGCCCACACGCCCGTACGTCAGGCCTCCTACCTTATGGTCTCGCACGCTCCGCGTGACAGTCACCAGCGTCCCCGCAGTTGCCATGGTCTGGACCATCTTCCATGTTCATTTGACTGTAGTTGCCATGTCGCTGAACTACAGTTGCCATGTCGGACAACTACAGTTGCCATGGTTGCTCAACTGCAGTTGCCATGTATGGTCTGGTCTACTGCAGTTGCCATGATTTCAAAACTTTAGGAGTTGCCACCTACTAAAACTAGGCAGTTGAGAGGGTTGCCATGTGCTCACAAGCACGCTAGGGCAGTTGCCATGTAAAAGGAAGAGTTGTCATCTGCTTACGTGCACACTAGGCAGTTGCGATGTACCATGCAAAAACACATGGCAACTCGGGTAAAAGAGAGTTGCCATCTGCTTACGTGCACACTAGGCAGTTGCCGTGTACCCTGCAAAACACATGAAAACTGACATGTTCGGGTAAAAAAAATAGAGTTGTCATCTGCTTATAAGCACACTAGGGAAGTTGCCATGTACACTGCAAAACACATGGCAACTAGCAGCTTGGGTGTGGGAGAGGAGACGGGCGTGTGGGCGAGATGGTAAATGCCCACACACCAGCCCTTATGCGTGAATGAAAATTGACGTGTGGGCGAACTGCTAAACGCCCACACATTGGCCCCTCGTGTGGTGAAACGGGCGTGAGGGCAACCGGGTGAATGCCCACACACCAGCCCTATCCTACGTGGCACCACAAACATGCCAAGATTCGTGCACCCACAAACAGACGCGGATCCATGCGTGTGGGCGAGATGCAAACGCCCACACATGTGGGCGTTAGTGTTTCCGTAGAACTAATATACATCTAGATACATCCCCTTTTATTTATTTTGATGACAAGTATTTCCGGACGAAGGGAGTATTAGTTATTACACTCGAATATTGTGTTTGTTGGTTGTGGTTTTTTCTAGTGCTAAGTACTGTCATCCTATTCGTATGCATTATACATTCACAAGCTCTAGACTTTTGCTTCGCAGCTTGTCTCTTGTGTGCCTTTCATGTTTGGCTTGACTCATTCTTTTACTCAGTTGTAAAATAGATATTTGTTTGCATAACAGACTTGGTGCATAAGTGTAAGATGTGGCATATGTACTCTCTCTATTATAATAGCTGGTCATACAAAGTCTCCTTTTCACATACCATTATTAAATCAAGAGTTATTTAGCCAAAACCATCACACTTGAGGCTAGGATAACAACTTGGTACCACATTCAAGCCACGGCACAAGAAACCACCAAAAATGTGCCTAATACGTAACGCGGAGCACTGATACTGAAATTTGGTCGTGAAAACAGCGAAATCGAAAGGTGGGGCCCGCCTGTCAGGCTGATGTGGCGTGCCTATGTGGACAATTTGCTGAGTTGGACGAGGGTCCCACCTGTCAATGACTCAAGTGTTTACCTCTTTCACCTTTTTTTATTTCTCTTTCCATTTTCTCATGGGCATTTCATCAAACAGCCTATGGGCATGTCGTCAGTGGCACCATGAACAGGTGAGGCCGCGCGGCAGCGCACCGGGGAGCCGGCCGATGCAGCCGTGGCAAGGAGACGTCATGGGTGGCGCCCATGGTGGTCTTCTATGGCTGTCAAAGCGACGGTGGGCACGGGCGCAAAGGACGTTGATGTGGTACCAGGAAGCCGATGGTGGACTCGCGGCCGCGGCCGGAGATGCCCTCCACATCGCGCTCCAACACAGGTGCGGCCAATGCCTGCCTACACACCGCCGCGGTGCGACCGAATGATGTACAACAGCTCTGGCGCCGCCCATGCGTGCTCCACTGGGCGCCCATGGGGCCCGATGTGCATCTGCCGACATTAGCTTGAGTAGGATGACCCATGTAGGAGACGACTCAGGGCGCGACCCGATGCTTCTTTCGCCGCTAGCCATTGGTCGCGCCGCCAGCCACTGGTCGCGGCCCGGTCGGCCACCAGCCACTGGGGCCCGACACTACATCCGCCTTGACTCAGGGCGGCGGTGCGGGAGGCTATGGTCATTTCTTTTTTACAGGAGGAAGAAAGAGGGGAAGAAGAGATGCATCTGACAGGTGGGGCTTTGGGCCAGCTCAATCAATTATCCACATAGCCAGGCCATGCCAGCCCGATTGGTGGGGCCAAGTTGTCAGTTTCGTTGTTTTCACGGGCAAATAAGACAATCAGTGCTCTGTGTTACGCATTAGGCGCACTTTTGGTGGTTTCTTGTGCCCTGACTTGAATGTGGTACCATCCTAGCCCCAAGTGTGGTGGTTTTGAATAAATAACTCTCAAATCAAATATTATAGCCCTCTTATGATATAGTACAACATTGGTTGCTCTAGCACTCAAGTTCTCTGTGTCGCTAAATAGTTGCTTAACACTTATTATTGCTACTATTTCAAATACGATTTTCTAGCCGTCGTATCGTGCTTTAGATATGCCTGCATCTATCCTGGTACGTGCAATTGGTCCGATCATATTTATTACCATGTTTGCCTTTTTCAGTTTCTCTATTAAGCATCCCATCTATATGTTTTTGCCATGATAATTGACTTTCCTGTGTTCAGATGCATCATCTAACACTTCTAGGCATAGCTGCCCGCCACGTCGGCCCCGCTCGAGGACGACCAAGCACTAACGGTCGAGGGCTTTGACCGTGCCTTCAAGGACAACAATGACAACCGAGGACTGCGGGAAATATGCCCTAGATGCAATAATAAAGTTGTTATTTATATTTCCTTATATCATGATAAATGGTTATTATTCATGCTAGAATTGTATTAACCAGAAACTTAGTACATGTGTGAATATATAGACAAAACACGGTGTCCCTAGTATGCCTCTACTTGACTAGCTCGTTAATCAAAGATGGTTATGTTTCCTAACCATAGACATGTATTGTCATTTGATGAACGGGATCACATCATTAAAGAATAATGTGATGGACAAGACCCATCCGTTAGCTTAGCATTATGATCATTACAGTTTTATTGCTACTGTTTTCTTCATGACTTATACATGTTCCTCTGACTATGAGATTATGCAACTCCCGAATACCAGAGGACCACCTTGTGTGCTATCAAATGCCATAGCGTAACAGGGTGATTATAAATATGCTCTACAGGTGTCTCTCAAGGTGTTTGTTGGGTTGGCATAGATCAAGAGTAGGATTTTCACTCCGTGTATCGGAGAGGTATCTCTGGGCCCTCTCGGTAATGCTCATCACTATAAGCCTTGCAAGCAATGTGACTAATGAGTTAGTTACGGGATGAAGCATTATAGAATGAGTAAAGAGACTTGCCAGTAACGAGATTGAACTAGGTATGATGATACCGACGATTGAATCTCGGGAAAGTAACATAACGATGACAAAGGGAACAACGTATGTTGTTGTGCGGTTTGACCGATAAAGATCTTCGTAGAATATGTAGGAGCCAATATGAGCATCCAGGTTCCGATATTGATTATTGGTTGGAGATGTGTCTCGATCATGTCTACATAGTTCTCGAGCCCGTATGGTCCGCATGCTTAACGTTCGATGGCGATTTGTATTATGAGTTATGTGTTTTTGATGACCGAAGTTTGTTCGGGGTCCCGGATGGGATCACGGACATGACGAGGAGTCTCAAAGTGGTCGAGACATAAAGAATGATATATTGGACGATGTTATTCGGACACCGAAAGAGTTCTGAGAGGTACCGAGTAAAAATGGAGTGCCGGAGGGGTTACCAGAACCCCCCCCCCCCCGGGGGAAGCAATGGGTCATCATGGGTCATAGGGGAGAGAGATAACAACCCACAAGGGGGTGGCACCCCCCCCTCCCTTGGAAGTCCGAATAGGACTAGGGGAGGGGCGCGGCCCCCATTTTCCTTTCACTCTCCCTGTCCCTTCCTTCTTCCCCCTTCCACCAAAGGGAATCCTACTAGGACTTGGAGTCTTAGTAGGACTCATCTATCTTGGCGCGCCCTATAGGGCTGGCCGGCCTCCCCGTCTCCTCCTTTATATATGGGGGAAGGGGCCACCCCAAAGCAGACCAAGAGTTCTCTTAGCCGTGTGTGGTGCCCCTTTCCACAGTTTACCACCTTGGTCATAGCGGCGTAGTGCTTAGGTGAAGCCCTGCGTGGATCACATCATCAACACCGTCGCCACACCGTCGTGCTGACGGAACTCTCCCTCGACTCTCTACTGGATCAAGAGTTTTAGGGACGTCATCGAGCTGAACGTGTGTTAAACACGGAGGTGTTGTACGTTCGGTACTTGGATTGGTTGGATCGTGAAGACGTTCGACTACATCAACCGCGTTAACTAACGCTTCCGCTTTTGGTCTATGAGGGTATGTGGACCCAATCTCCCCCTCTCGTTACTATGCATCTCCTAGATAGATCTTGCGTGATCGTAGGAATTTTTTTTGAAATTGCATGCTACATTCCCCAACAGTGGCATCAGAGCCAGGTCTATGCATAGATGATATGCACGAGTAGAACACAAAGAGTTGTGGGCGATAATAGTCATACTGCTTACCACCAACATCTTACTTTGATTCAGCGGTATTGTTGGATGAAGCGGCCCGAACCGACATTACATGACCGCGTTCATGAGACTGGTTCGACCGAGGTGCTTTGCACACAGATGGCTAGCGGTTGTCTG